ACACAACATGAATCAAACATGTACTTTATTTATTTACACTAAATATCAAAAGTACATCAAAACTGATTGAAGCTAAGGGCATACAAAACTGTCTAACACACCAAGATTCGCTTTACTTTAAAGTCATTGATGATCATCTTCACGACCAGGGCACCGCCCTGAGGATATTGAATCCCACGGGCATCGTCCTCGGTAAAGTAGACTGGTTCTTCGATTTGAGGCCGCTTGGATGGGTTCTCTGCTTCATGCTTTAGATCTCAGACTAATGTTTTCTCGGCTGCTAGTGTGCACCCCGCTACAATAGATCCTTCGGTGATCATATTAATCACCCCGCGGATCTATCTTTCTTTTGGCAGCGGGCGAGGTGGCTACTCGTTTTGTTTACTGCTCTCTAGGGCGTCGTTTTTTTTTTATCTCCCTATCGGCTCTCCTATTCTTTTTCTTTACACAAAATGTACTTCTTCAAGTACACATGGCGGATTAGCTCTTCGATCTCATTGCGGAGGTTTCTACAGTTTTCTTTGCTGTGACCATGGTCCTGATGAAAGTGACAATAGACGTTTGGGTTCCTGGTTGTTGGGTCTCCATGAAGCCTGGGTGTCCATCTGACGATAGAGGAGTCTTTGGTGACCATTAGGTTCTCTCCTTGCTTCACATTCAAGGGAGTATAGTTCGTTCTCTCTAATGGCGGGGTCCTGGAACGCTGACCCGACCTATAAATTCGCGAGGGGGACTTACTCCTCGAGCTTGGGGACTTGCTTTTTTTTCTTTTCTTATTGCTCGTTCATTCTTCCTCTCTCTTCCTCTTTTCTCCTGGATGGTTGTCGGTTTTCTGGTTTATCTCTTCTTCTGTGCTTATAAACTGATCGGCCAACTTGAGGAACTCGGTGATGTTCTTTGGCTTGTTGGCCACGACGTGCCACTTGAACTCTTTGTGGGTGATTCCTTTGCATGCTGTGGTGAGACGTACTGCTAGGTCAAGGTCCGATATCTGTAGACATGTCTTATTGAAGTGCTTGATGTAGCTCCGAATCGACTCTCCTTCCCTCTGCACCACGTTCAGAAGGCTCTCCTGTGACTTTAGGCACTTCTTACTAATGATAAAGTGGGTCGTAAACATATCCGCGAGCTGCGCCCAACTTCTGATGGAACCCGACACGAGGTTTCGGTACTGGGTCTAAACTACTCCTCTGAATGTGGTGGAGAAAGCCATACACATACAAGCCTCGTCGGCCCCGACGAGATGCATCTGGGATTGGAATGCGTCTATGTGATCGTTGGGATCAAAGGACTCATCGTACTTGTCTAGAGGCGACACCTTGAAATCTTTCGACATCGAGGCCGCTAGGAGCTCGGGTGATAGGGGGAAGGTTGGCTCAAAAGAGCAGGCGTTGTTCCTGTGGCCACCGCTGGTGGTTCATTCCTTCCCGATGAACGACGAGTCTTGCGACGTCGCTGCTGCTGCTTCTTTGGTGGAGCGACATTTGTACTGCTGACATCTGTGTTGTCAGGTGCTTCAATCCTACTCCGAATAGTAGACCGAGGTGGTTCAGAGATTCTCCTCGCCGCTTCCTCTTCACTGCGCGCTCGGTGTTGGCTGTTGTGCGAAACTGAGGGATCTCTTCTCGAGCCCATGCCTCGGGCCCCGAGCTGACGATCTTCATGAGAAATTTGCTGGTTGCGCCTATCGGGCTGGTTGGGTTCGGGCCTATCCCTTGAGTTCTCTCTTCGGGAAGCTGCGGGAGTACGTCAGTCGCCTATTGTACCCTATGGTGGGGTCCTTCCCGAGGGAGGGACCGGTACCTGTGAAGTTCTTTCCCTGTGGGGGAGAGACCGGCGGACGTTCTGGCGAGCCTGGTGCTAATTTTTTGTCGGCTGGCTTGATTGCAGTGGTGAGAACTGCTATTGATATTGTTGATAAAAATAATATTACTGAAACTGGTAGAACTAATGGATCTACTGCATTTGGATCTGCACCGTTCGAATGTGCTAGACGAGGTTGTTGAATTGGGAGTGCTTGATCCTAGGGGGAATCACGGTAGGCTCCGAGAACATGGCGTTCACTTGGGGGAGCGAGGCACTCACCTGTTGGGTAGTGTGTGACACATACAGTGATGGAACCCCAGAGGCGGTTAGAGGAATGGTGAACTGGTCGATAGTCACCGAGGATCCTTGGGGAGCGACTATCTGTTGCTCTTGCCCCCAATAATGTTCATGTTATTCTTTCTGTTGTGGCTGGTTGATGCCATTGAGGTACTGTAAATAGGATTGGGATAACCTTTCGATCATTTCCCAGAGATGATGCCAATTGATCGTGTGCGATCTGGATACTCCTAGTTGGAAGACTGGACCCTAGTTGCGCGGCAAGTTAGACCAAGATGCAAAATAAAGGATCAGAGAACCTGGGGTGGATAACCCGGCGAGGCCGCTCCGATGCCTAAGTCAGTACTATATTGTGGATGCGAGCTGAATATTTGAGTGATAGAGTACTAGTGAGCAAATAATCACGCATACGTGTACCATGGAGGGATCGATTCCCTTATATAGCTGAGTTATCATGGATTTCTTGAAACGGTTCCGGGATCTGCGGCCTGAGTGGATGAGATCCGTTTCCGCTTTAGTCGGGGAGTAACGTATCAATCAATGAAGTTTATCATCGCTGCCCGATCCAGACGGGTAGAGGATAAGGCCTACCGTTACACAGGGTGATCCCATGATGTTCGGAGTCTGCTGGGAAGCTTCTGTAATCGATTACGTGTCACTTCGGTTCCTAGGCCCCGAATTCATTTAGGCGCTGGGGTGACTTTATGTCGAAGTGGCGTTATGCCGAGGTGGTGTTATGCCAAAGTGGCATAATGCCGAGGTGGCGGAAGATCCAAACTTCATAAACTGCTGACTATGCTCCCCTTGCTGAGTTGTCATTCTATGAGCAGTTCGTGTCCATGTGACCTTTACTTACTAGGTCGCGCCAAATTATCCCTCATCAACATTGTCAACATTTCAAAGCGTTTGGTGCAAGAGTGCAAGGTAGGGGTGTCCACGATTCGGTTAACCGAACCATGGCACTTTTTTGTAAACAGAACTGGTGGTACTGGTTTTTCCAATTCTCCAAATCGAAATCGAACCGGTACCACTGATTAATCGGTCCGTTGGTTTCGGTTTTTGATCGATTTGATTCTTCGATTCATCGGGTTTTTATATTTATAATATATATTATACAAATATATATATAATATCATATAATAAATAATAAATGATATATAATATATTATAAATATTTAAAAAATATATAATATATATAATGTATTTATAAATTGATCATTATAAATATAATATAAGTATATATTTATATATATAATGAATATATATTTATGTATAATACAAAAAAATTGTGACATATATTAAAAATATAGATAAAATATAGATATATATATCGGTGGATTTGGTTAATCGTCGTTGGGTTCGATTTTTTATGGACACCCCTAGTGCAAGGCTTATGCTTATCCACATATCCACATAGAAGTTCGTTCCTGTGCTGTAGCACATTGCACAACCTTTAGGTCGATCTGTTAATTAACCTGGACAAATAGCAGCCAAAGCTCATCTCTCCGGCCTGCAAAACCTACTTCCTTGGACCACAACAGCCCTGTCATGCGACATTTGGAGAGCTTTTTCCGAGAAGGAGACCAGCCCCTGGTTCCGGTCCCCAAGGTCTGCACTCTGCAATGTGTACTACTCGGCGAATTTTCTGCTTTTCCTCAAGGATGAATGTCCTGTTTCACAGGGCAGTGCATCACCGGTTCTTACTGAATTACATGTTGAAAGCGACAAATTGCACTCAGAGAGAGAGAGAGGGAGATGGATAATTAAAGTGGCCAACTCTAGACATCACCTTTTTAGGCGTTATAATTGATGGACAAGCAAACAAAAACATGGGAAGCTGCATCGAAGCCTCAGTTATTCGACTCCATGTATAATGACCATTTAGACATGTACATCGTTTTTGAACCTTCCTGCTATGTTCTCCATGGGAATTCTTTCTCTCTCTCATTTAAATTTCAATAATATCCCTAAAATTAGCAAAGTGTGGCATATATATATATATATATTATAATTTATACCTACGTCCAACTTTGTGCCCATTGGGCAATATATGTACATAGCTCTCGTCTGTAGGACCCAGATATATATGAAGTTAGTTGGCCCAGTTACGCATTCAGGGTATGCCAACTAGACAAGGAGGGCAATGGTGGGTATTGCGTATTGCGTATTGCCATGGCAGGGCTAGACCAAGCAGATATCCTTATCTGCAAAAGATGATGCACTTTTGAGAGAGAGAGAGAGCAAAAATTGGAATCAATTGCTTTCTATGGCTTTTTCATAGCACAGTAGTTACACGAGGGGCCACAATTTAATTAAAGGGGAATTTAGTACTCACGAGATTGCCATTTTCCTACCCCCCCGCCCCCCTCTATCTTTCATTCAACTTGTATTCTACATCGTCTCCAAGTGTTAGTGTCCATCTTGAACATTTTTCAGCTTTTATGTCCAGTCCGATTTGTCCCAACCTCTTACTTGTACTCACACAGAATAATAAAAATCCCACCACAAGGCCGTCGAAGCACCTTTCTCTCTTTTACTCTGTCTCTGATACACACTTATAAATTATGATGATGATCAGCCCTCAGTCATCTCTTCCCTCTCTCCGGATGAGTCCGAAAATAGCTAATGAGGAAGAAGCCTCTTACCATTCTCATGGCATCGACGAAGATGAGGAAAAAGAGAAGACTAGCATAGATTGGTGTAATCGGGTGTATGGCAAATGCCGCAGAGCTCGGGGCGGAGGTTGGCTTCTAGGAAGAGTGTTGGACCCTCGATCCATGTGGATTCAGGAATGGAACCGGGTATTTCTGCTTGTGTCTACAACGTCTCTCTTCGTGGATCCTCTCTTCTTCTATGCCCTCTTAATCAGCGAGACATGCATGTGCCTCTTCATCGATGGCTGGTTCGCCATCACCGTGACTGCACTACGGTGCATGACCGACGCCCTGCATGTATGGAACATGTGGTTGCAGTTCAAAATGGCTCAGCGCTCCCAAGCCGTCGTGATGGTGGAAGATAGTGCCAAGCTTCAGAACACCAGTGCTCGCTCCACAGCCCTCCGCTACCTCAAGGCCAAGAAGGGTTTCTTCTTAGACCTCTTCATCCTCCTCCCAGTGCCCCAGGTAACAACGCTAACTCCTCCATTCCCTTCCTTACACCCTTACTCATCCTCATCGTTTCCGTCGTCGCCATCATCATCATCATCATCATCATCATCAAATTTACATAAATATTCCAAGAATAAGTGATGCCACATGGCGACCAGATTTTGTAAGCTAGCGCTGTAGGTCATGACAACTGCACGTCATGAGCTGATGGCTTTAGCTTCATTCATGCTCTCTGCAAGCTTGCACCTTGCAATGCAAAACATGTGATCTTCCATATGGCTTTGCCTTCCACTCCATTTACCGATCAAACCTCCAAAGCATATATATTCTGAACGTTAATTTAGACTGAAAAGTTTGTGCCAAGTGCAAATTTTGTCGACCTTTTGTTAAATTTTGAAAGCTTTTCGTTTTAATTTAAAGTTAAAGCAAAATTATAAAACTAAGCAGGCTTCTGAATTTGAATACAACCCTACCTAGCCCCATATATATATATATATATATATATATATATATGTTTGCTACGTGAAGACAATATATAGATAAGATAATCTCTAACCACCCAAACAAAACAAACAAATTAAGTAATTGAATCTTGCATTTATTACATGCATATAAATATGCTAATATATAGATAGATATCCAAGACCAAGAATATTTCAGTGAGGAAGATTTTGGCAAAATGCAACATTCAATTGAGCTGTAGTGCTACTTCAATTAGCTAATGATAATTTGGAGCAAAACATACCATAGAGCTGGGTTTGCTCCTGTTGAAAATGGAGATGGATCGAAAAATTACTGTCATCGATCGTGTTACCCAAAGTTTTTACCACCAATCCTGCATCAAATGCATTTGACAATTGACCCCTCCTGCTCTCATGCATTTATTTATACAGTTATTAATAATAATCCTTTGTTTGATTCCTAATTTCGATCTATTAATTTAAAGTTGAGCATCAACGTAACGGTGACAATTAAAGAACCATCTTCCCTTAAACATATATATGCTATCTCTCTGGCCTCTGCATTCAGCAGGTAGAGCCTTTTTTAAATTAATGATCAAATTAAGTTAATTTCTAAAGCGCTTTAATTTGTTGATGAATTATTTATTTAAAGCAGAGATTAATGCAATTAATTCGATGCAGATAATGCTATGGGTAGCAATTCCATCTCTACTGGAAAGAGGATCGTCAGCAGTCGTAATGACAGTGTTCTTGATCACGTTCCTCTTCCAATATTTCCCCAAAATTTGCTACTCCGTCTGCCTCTTACGTCGAATGCAAAACCAATCAGGCTACATATTTGGCACCGTTTGGTGGGGAATCGCACTCAACTTGATCTCTTTCTTTGTTGCCTCACATGTAAGTATATATCCGTCTCCTCAATATATATATATATATATATTAATTGCACACCTCTTAATTAACTCTGCATAAATCAAAGCTGATGATCAATAAGCGGAAACTAATCTCTTAGCAAATTTCAGGAGGCTTCCTTTTATTTTTAGGCACACTGCCAGTGCCAAACATGAAAGCCTTTGATTGCTTTGTTTGATTACTCGTTTTTGTTGGTTCATGAATATAATCGAGGTTAGCTAGGTACCTACTGTTGAACAATACCAACCCATATCACAATTAATTAAGGAGTTCGAATCCTCTACGGTTACCCGTTATACTGGGCCAATCACGATATACCAAGCAGCATAATTAGGATCCTGTGTAGTTCCGGTACTTAGGGGTCAGGTTGGTCTGGTTCTGCCACTCTCAGCAGGATTCCAATTTTGACAAAATGCCAAGAATGACTAGTAATTTTCAATATATATATATATATATATATATTGAAAAAAGAGAGCAAGAGAATGAGTAGTTTTATTGGCAAAATGCCAAGTTAAAAGTCTTGTTAACTGTAGTAACACATGTAAGATGGTCTGTAATATCAATTAGGCCGGGTAAATCTGTGATAGCTGAAGTGTATGATACCGAAGAGCTAACTTTAATTGACTAATCAACGGCCCCCCACCCGATTGGTTATCACTTCTTTTGGTATCTTAGTCGAACACCTAAAATTATCATTTTACAGGAGTATATAGATATTTTGATCAGAGAGAGAGAAAGAAAATTAACATGTCTATATATTGTCAAATTACCAATTAAGCTAGCTAATTATTTTTCAATTAAAATCAGGTAGGCCTGACTAATAATAGAGTAGGCTGGGCTGTATTTGGCTTGGCATAGAGTATGGTGTAAAAGAATATTATAACAAGTGTATATTTTTAGTGTTTAGTTTCTAGCTAGTAAATACAAAGGTAATAGGCAAATTAATATGTCTAGAATCAAAATGTGGCAAAATGGCTTGTACCTAGGGATGGCAATTTTGTGGGAATTTTTGGGTATCCGATTCATTCTGACCCTAATAGGATCCATTTATCAAAACCCTATAGGGTTTGGCTTTAAGTTTAGGGTATCCGATACCTGATACCCGAGATGCATAAATATGAACCTATTATATATATCATATACAAATTTATAAATTTTAAGTATTAAGATAATTATTCTATTATTAATATTTTATTTGTATAAATTTTTTGAGATTAAAATCATCAATTGATGTAAATTTGGATTTGATAGATTGTTTATTTCATTTAGTTATAAAATGCTAATTTTAAATATTATTTCTTTTAATTTTTAGTTGGAATTGTTAATCATATACATGTATTGATTATTTTGATGAACACAAAAGTTAATACAATCTATTTTATTTCATTAAATAACACAAAATGTGAGATGACTTAGTGGCACAAAGTAGTGTTAAGAGATTTGGTGCTATCTTTAATTGATCTAGGTTTAATTCACATTATAATCATTAAGAAATACTTTTTTAGTAGAAAACCTTTGATCAAGGGGTTTAAAGGGTGGGATGGGTTTAACAGGTTTGGGACGGGACAGTTTGGGAATTTGAGAGGAAAAGTTAGATGGGTTTGGGACGGGTTTGGAATCAGGGATACATAGGCAAGATTCCTACTTGTACCCTTTCCGAAGGTAAGTTATTTTACTTAGAGTATTGATTTGGACTGTGGGTTTACACTTACTTTTATGCCCTATTCGCTTTTCGGTAAGTCACTCACCCAGGTAAATGCACTTACCTTGATAAGTGTTTCCCATGAAAGACTTATCGGGGTAAGTGCATTTACCCATGTTCTTTTATTTCCCATGTAAATAAGGCAATGGCCATCTTAGCCATAAAAATTTCATTATTTAAAGGGACACTTTTGTCAAACTTAATTTAACCACCTAGGAGATGGATATCACTTATCCAAGTAAGTGATACCAAGGAAAATAAACTTTCACTGATCCCCACATAAATTTAAAAAATGAACATGGGTTTTTTGGTCAATGAGAATAAAATCCCATTGACCAACTTTCCTCTCTCTCAAAATCCAAAAAAAGAACGCCCCCTTTAAGGCCCATCTAGATGATTGTTTCTATAAAGCACTCACATGGAAGAAAATTTTGATTGTATTAACTTCTTTCCACGTATCCTAAAATCTAGTGGTTCTTCAGCTTATGGTCTCATTTTCCAAGCTTGTTTCCACCTTCCAATCAGATGTTGGAAAGATTAAACGAAAAAAAAAAACGACACTTTACAAAAAAAATATTTTTCTATAATAGATATTTTGCATGCCAAAATATTTTCTGTGGTCCAAACACAGATTTACTCAAAGTTTCATTGAATATGATATTTCCTATTTTATCTTCTAACATGCCATGATTAATATCTTTCTTTAAGAAAATGGAATTCAATGATTATGTACGGATACTTGTGATAATTTGCAATAGGAATCATCATTTGTTTATTTACTTAGATGATATAGCCATTATTCCATCATTTATAAAAAAAGGGTAAATTACAAAGACCCCCAGTACTATGATGTCTTTGATAAAGACCCCCCTGTACTATCACCATGAGACAAAGATCCCTTTCCGTTAGTCTTTTGTTAAAAAATGCAGTTACAATATTTTTTTAATCACCATACTACCCTTCTAATAACTAGACAAGAAAAATACTGTTCATCTTCCCCAACCTTCCGATACTACCCTTTCATTCCTTCACATTTCTCTCTCTCTCTCCCCTCTTTCCTCCAATCTCTCTTCTTGCCCTTCTCCTTAACAGTGTCGGGATTGAACCCATTTAATTCAATCCCGACCTCTCTCTCCATTACTGCTTTCTTCAGATCCCGATCTCTCTCTCTCTCTCTCTCTCTCTCTCTCTCTCTCTCCATTTGCAATGCGTATCTCACGGGAGGTCAAGGTTGTTGACGCAGCATGGAAGCAACAAACCGGGCTGGCTATGCAAGCACCGGGCGAACCAAGCTTCTAGCGAAGCAAGAAAGAAAGAAAACTCGAGAGGAGAGAGAAAAGGTGGCGAAGATTGATGAATAATTCTGAAGTATGTATCAACTGGAAAATAGCAATATTTATAATACATCTGGAAATTGTAAAAAAACTATGAAAGAACAACTAGGATAGATCCAAACATCTAACCTGATATGGTCGAACTCTTCTTGGTTTGATCTCCACCGTCCGATCTCCCTTGATGCATGAATCTTGGGAACCTTGGATTATCTTGAATTCTTGGAAATCTTGATGGGTCTTGAATTCTTGAATTCTTGAATTCTTTGTGGATCTTGAATTCTTGCTGAGTCTTGAACTCTTGAATTCTTGATGAGTCTTTTCTTGAATGATCCTATCCTTATCCTTATCCTATGGGCTGCCGCCCTATGGTGAGATGGGCCTTGGGATGGGCCTCCATCATTCTCCCCCACTTGGAAAGAACTCGGCCCCGAGTCATGACTAGGATAGGCAAGTGTCATCTCTGGCAGGTAGCGATGAAGGTCTGCAACATTAAAAGTCTTAGAGATACCTATATGGTCTGGTAGGTCCACGACATAGGCATTGTTGTTGATTTTCTTCATGATCTTGTATGGACCGTACTTCCGAGGCTGCAACTTGTTGTATTTTCCCACGGGAATCCTTTCCTTCCTCAAGAATACCATAACTTCATCACTGACGTCAAATACTTGGGGCCGATGATGCTTGTTTGCTGCCAACTTGTACTTGGCGTTGGTTTGCTCTAGTCTTTGCTTCACGGCTTCTTGGACGGATTGGATCTGGTCCACCATCTGTTCTGTGGAGGCACTGACACCGGGTACTCTGGGTAATTTTACTAGGTCCAGTGCATGATTTGGAACCTTCATGTAGACAATGGAGAATGTGGATCTACCTGTAGAACTGTGCACTGCATTATTATAGTCGAACTCGGCTTGTGCAATGGCGAAGTCCCATTGTTTTGGTCTCTCCTGAGATATGCTATGAATTAGGTTACCAAGGGTCCGGTTTACCACCTCAGTTTGTCTGTCTGTCTACGGATGGGCTGTGCTGCTGAAATTTAGTGACGAATCGAATAACCTCCATAGGGTCATCCAAAAGTGACTGAGGAACCTTGTGTCTCGATCTGATGTGATAGTCTAGGGCACCCCATGTAGGCGGACAATCTCCCTGAAAAATAATTTGGCTGTCGCTGATGCATCTGCTGTTTTCTTGCATGGGAGGAAGTGAGCCATTTTAGAGAACCTGTCAACTACTACGAAGACGGAGTCCATATTTCTTTGTGTTTTTGGCAGGCCTAGCACAAAATCCATGGAAAAGTCTTCCCAAATCGCAGTAGGAACCGGTAGGGGCATGTAGAGACCAGTATTCTGGGTCTGTCCCTTAGTTGTCTGACAAATATAACATCTACTCACAATAGTGGATACATCCCTTCTTAACTTCGGCCAGTAGTAACGCCCTTTAACTGCTTCAATGGTCTTATCCCTTCCCAGATGTCGAGCTAATCCACCCCCATGCAGATCTCTGATGATCTTCTCACGGAGGGAAGTGCAAGGGATGCACAGCTGTTCCCCTTTCATAAGGAACCCATCATGAATGTAGAAATCATCTACTGGCTGTCGATTCGTACGTTTCTCCCACACCTGTTGGAAATTTTCATCCTAGGCGTATAGATCTCTTAGGCACTCAAAACCCACAATCTCAATACTGAGGGTCTTGATGAGGGCTACTCTTCTGCTAAGGGCATCGGCCACTTTGTTTTGTTGTCCATCCTTGTACACAATTTTGTATGAGAATTTGTCAAGGAAAGCAGACCATCTAACATGCAAACCACTCCTTAATTGTTTTTGCCCACTGAGATATTTTAGGGCCTGGTGGTCAGTGTAAAGAACAAATTCCTTTGCAATTAAATAATGTTCCCATGTTTTCAAGGCTCTTACCACAATATAGAACTCTTTGTCATAGGTGGACCACTT